CCCCCTCATCACCTACCTGCATGTATCCGTCGAGGGGCGTCCTGAACTCGACCGAGCTCCCCGAACTCCTCCGCGGCTTGTTGATGTTGAGCCTCAGGATGCCGGTCGTGGGCGTCTGCGTCGTCGGCGCGGCGCCCGCGGCCGAGTTGGACGCCGTGGACAGGGACGGCGACGCCGTCCTCCCGCGGCGGCCGGCGACCCCTGTGGCGCCCGCCCCCGCCGCCGCCCCGGGGAGCGCGGACAGCCCCATGTAGGGCGGGGCGGGGCCGCCAGTGTTTGCCTCAGACATCCTGCCGAGTGGACGGAATCAGCTTAATGGAGGGCGCAACGAACGCAGGTCGCCATTCTGTGGTCGCTGACCGCACGGCGAGTCGCACTGCGTCTGGTGCTGGTCGAGGCATCTCCGCGAGGTCGCAAAGCTCCTATTCCACTCAGCACTTGTTTTTATTTATTTATTTCATGCATTTTATTGTTTTCGTCCAATTAATTTTTGGGGGTGTATATTATTTTTGATAGTATTTTACGCAATGTTAATTTTCGCCATTTTATTTTCTCCACCTCCACCCCTCCTCCAGGATTGCGGCGGTGCGTATGGAGGGTTTTTAGGCTAATGAGGCGGTGCCGCGTGTCCCTAAATCACGGGCGGGGCGGCGCGACGGCCTCGCCGTGGGCGCGTCACGGTCACGTCACGGACACGTCACGGACGGGTCACGCTTGGACTCACTGGGAGGGAGGGGTGGGTGGATCTGAACCGAGGTCGGGCATTTTTTATTTCTTTCGCCCTTTGTAATTGTGTTTATCTAGGATACGAAAATTTTACATAAGCCTGGGTTAAACGGGGGGGAGCAGAGGGGTTCGTGCCGAACGATGCGCTTGAAATGTAGGCGCAGAGTAGTGGCGATTAAGTTGGTTAAGCTTTTCGCTCAAGCAAGAAATATGCACTAGGGCCTCAACAGAAAAAAAAAAAATGAAAAAAAAGGAAACTAGAGAGTGAGTATGGAGGTAGTGATGAAGCTCGAAATGAGACAATTTTGCCTCGCTTAATCAGCAGAGCGATTACTATAAGGCTCACCCTATTTGAATCAAGTGCACCGAATAATCACTCTGAAGGAGTAAGAGTAAGATTTCTCTGACCTCGCCCCATTGCAGTGAGGAACCTCACTCTCTTTGAGTGAGGACCGCGAATTATGACTTAAATAGCCTAGAGTCAAATATCTCGCCCTCAGGAGAGCGGATATTTTTTGTGTCACTGATCTCGCTTTCCTGATCCAAAAAAATTTCCTCGTAAGGTTACGACGTTTATTGAAATCTGGAATTACAAAATAATGTTGTAAATCTACGGTGGACCAGTTTTTCTCCTCGATTAATTCCAAATCGATAGGAAGTTATTGTAATTTTACAACTCAAAGTTGTAGTTTTACGGACTCACATCATGGAAATTTTTCCTGTAAACTTACGAGTATTTTTCACAGTGATGAGCAACTAACTCTAGCATTTTTAGTGCATAAGTATCTGAACATGGCTCTGCGGTTGAAAGGTGACGCTGGTCTGAGCGCCTGCAATGCGCTGGATAGGCCAGCCCGCCAAGCAGCTGTGTGAAGACAGCGGCCCACGCCCAAGTGCAGGCGGGGGCTCGGACAAAGAGAACCTTTGTTTGCCTTGCAACGACCACTCGCGTCACCCGGGCCGCAGGGGGAACGTCCATTCTATTGCTAGGGGAACCTACACTCCTTTCTAGAATTTGTTCTCTAGTGATTTCACGTCTAAAGAGGTGTTAGATGCCCCGGAACATTCTCTGAGACTTACTAAAAGCGAGTGTATTACAAAAGCGTTCATCACACACCAATAATTTTGCCCAAATAATACAAAAAAACAAACAAACAAAAAACACGACACGATGCATACTTTTTTATGTGGAAATTACAAGGGTGTACGCGGTAACTAGCGCAATAAATAGTGTCGAAAAAAAACAACACAAATTTGTTTTGACTTACGTGAGCGTCCCGGGAGTTAGTCCATGGTCGTGTCACTCCATGCTCGGTGCGGTACGCAGAGTGTGTATGTGGCCGACGCAGCGCGCTGCGCTACCCGCGCTCGTCTCCCTCCCCCTCCCCACCTCTGCCGCCCGCCCGCCCCACCCACCCCTCTGGGCGGGGCGGCTGCGTTGTGTACCGTACGCAGTACTCAGCTCAAATCAATGATTGCGTGTTTTTGCGTTAAGCTTTCTGACCAATCAAGCTGTAGTTTATATTCGTTTCTTTTTACTTAAATTCAATGAAAATAAACGGCTCTTCTCAACTGGGCCTGAGGCCTAGTAGGATCTACATGCCGGCTGACCTTAGGTTTCGAATGATTTTCGGCGTGTTTCATGCAACTTACCAACCTCATCTTGGCAAAGGATGAAGTGACCCGAATGGACCACGAACATTTATTGGAAATCATGGTGGCCAGTTTTACTTTCAGCACAGACAAGTGGACATCTGGCGGTGTTATGCAGAAATGTAGTCAGAATCAGATTTGTTTTGGTCCTGGTCTGATGTTGTTGATCCCAGTATCTTGTACTCGGGCTGGGGTGTGGTGTAGATTAAAGGGTATAGGCAGGTTTGTGTTTAAAATAAATAACATTTATTTACGTACTGATACATAAAGCGTAAAAAAGATTTACAAAGTATTTCTTTTCCCAGCAGCGCATGTTAGCCCTGTCCAGGCTATGTGCAAGGTCACGATCAGCTCACAAAGTATTGGGTTTATCATGGTAACTGAAAAGCATTAAAATTCTCTATCGTCTGTGCAGCGTACACTCTTTTTGGAAAAAGCAGTGCAATGCACTCATTAATTTAGAGCGCAGTCTGTGCGCCTTATCACCCGTCAAACTGAAAAGTTACACGTTTTAACACACATCACATTTTCATTTAAGCCAAAAATGCGACTGTGATTCAAGCTGCAAAAATACTTTGGAATGCATGGTGGTTTTAGTAGTTCAAAGATAAAGTTAATTATATTTCTAAAACCAAGTCACTTTTCAAAATGTAATTTCCGTTCAAGAGTCATTCGGCATGGTAACAATTAATTTCGACGTTTGCGAAAATTGCCGGACGACACTATTTTTAACAGTCTTTCACATTGGCTCGAGTAACTTGGGCGGAATGGCACCAGTGGGGTTTGATTACAGAGAGACTATGTACAATAAATAATTACAATCTACTTTCAAGTTCTTAACGAAGACGTTTCAACACAGTTGGCACAAACATGTATGGTACAATGGATGCCCCATTCTGCTAAACTGTCTGGATGCACAACACATCGCTCTCGCAATTAAACTAAACTCTTCGGAGATCAACACTCGTAATGAGCTACCGCACTGACAAGTACTTTAGTTTACACGCTGAGTGGGAAAGGACCATTTTGTGTCCAGCGAGGACGTGCTTTTAAGCACATATCAATCAAATGCAAATTTCTGTTTCTATACTAGACACAAAAAATATTTGTTCTTAGACTAGATAAACCTTGTAAGTTTTCAAGGACAAATTTACATCTAATTGAGATGAGCTACAAAACAAATCTTCGCTGGATTCAAAATTTTCCTTTCCCACTAGAGTGTACACTGATGGACTTCAAACATCCTTAAAAGTATAAGATAAATCGGAATACAATCGAGATCAATAGCCAATTTTCGTTATCTTTTCACTTTTGCACCGCGAATCGTAACAAGTGTCGAAGAAGGCTGTTAGGTGGTAATTGTAGAGATTGAATTTTGTTTTATACTCTATTAGAAATACAGAGATTTGTCACTAAATGCACTATGCGAAATGAAATTTAATATACAACAGCAGATAGAGCGCTCCGCTCATGAAAGACCTATGGATCTCAAACCCGAAGGTGGTGCCAAAGGATATACCCCGGTTACAAAAAGGTGGAAGAGGCATATAGGAGTGTTCAGAAAAATCTGACTTCAGTAGAGACGAGGGCCCCACGACACTCCCAAGGCGCTGTGTGTTGACGCGTTTAAGATTCATCCCCTAGCAAAGGAGCTAAATCCTACCTTTGATTTACGACAGGACAACCCCAAAAATTCCCCAAGTCCACGTGTTCATACAAACGCAAAAAAGCGTTTACAAAATTCTTTGGTGCCGGGTGTTGCCGAACACGGTGCGTATGGCAACGCTGGAATGTAAACGCAGGAGAATACTTTCGTCGTTCGTGGCAAGAACACACACATGTAACGCAAGAATAGTCGACGGCCCAAAATGGCGTCAATTTGCGAATTGCGCAAAACACGCTATCTGGCCATTTCGCACAATTAAAAAATAGTTTTTAATTAACTAATTAGACATACAATATTGTCAGTGGCGGAGCGTCAAAAGGTGACGTTCCTCCCGAGCTTCAGCTTAAACAGTTTCTTCCTCTTGCGCGCGGGCAGGCGGCTCAGCGCGTCGCTCACGGCCAGGGCGTCGGCGTCGGTGGCGGCGTCGGTGGCGGCGTCGGCCTCCGCGTCGGCGGGCACCTCCTCGGAGCCCCCGAGGTCGCCCGACTGCGCCCCGGACACGAAGCCGCTCTCGGGCCGCGACAGCGGTGCCGGCGTTTGCAGCAGCTCGAACCAGCGGGCGACCTTGGCGGCGGAGCTCAGCTGGAAGGGCAAAGCGAGAGTGAAAGGGACAGTGGAAAAAAAAGGGCAAACTCAGAGGGGAAGTTGTTAAAGAGGGACGCCGTCGTGGGATTTTCCCTTAGAACGAGTGGGGGGGGGGGGGGGGGGGGGGGGCTGCGGACCCATCGCGGGCGACACTTCTGCTTCACGTCCGTTCGTCAGCGCTATGGCCTGCAGGCACGCAAGGCGGGGGCGGGAGGCAGAGAGAGGGAGACGGGGGCAGTGCTTAACGCCCTGAACTTGGACAGGAAAATACGTTACATGGCAAAGACCAGAGGAGCACATCCCTCACGTCGTAACGCTATCTGCGCAGAGACACGTTCGTTCCGGCCCCGGTGCTTTAGTGTCCGCGGAATAGGCCTACTCTCATCTGCTCCCCATCCATGCAATTCCAACCATAGACCGCGCTAGAACGACCTGTTCAAAAGAAAAACCCTAATGACCGAAAAAGAACATACACAGAGTCTGTTTACGGTTTGTATTTTTGTCTGCTGGCCCCTTCCTTTTTTTCATAATAAAGTTCCGCATTTTGATTAAGCGGAGTGGGCAGGGCGGTAATGCGGGTGGGCGCACGCAGAGCACAGCGTGGCGTAGCGTGGCGGGCCAGACAGACCTGCGGGGGACGGTGAGAAACAACAGGAGATAGCTATCGAAACGACAAATCGAAGAGAGGGGCGACATAGTAACAATTTTGTTTCAAGTTTAGTCCCGTAAAAAAAAACTTGAAGCCTGGACGGGGAAATTTTCCTTTAGAAATGTGGCAAATTAACGATTCTAAATTGTAAAATTACAAATTCTTACGATGACATGTAATTTCGGATTTATGACAAGCAAAATATGCGAGGGGGAAACGACTAAGGTAATCCGGCGGACAGCCGAAAGGTAATCCGGCAGGGGTAATCCGAGGAAATTCTAAAAAATCCGTGGTAATCCGGGGAAATTTTGGGGTAATCCGGGAAAATTTTGGGGGTAATCCGGGGTAATCCTAGAGAAAAAGCAACGTAATCCGGAGGACACTCCGGAGGTAATCCGGGTAATCCGTAATCCGGCTGACACAAAGTTTAACAGTCGTTTCCCCCTCGAAAATATGCCTTTATTGGTTCCGAAAGTTACTGCATGTTAAAGATGATTTTCACAATGGATATTGTTTGATGTTGTTGCGATATCATGTCGACAAAATTGCTACCCAAGTAAGAATTATGTGGTAAGGATATTGACAAGAAGTTGAACTGGTGGGAGGTGAGATCACCAACTTTGAAAGTTTGCCGTCAGAAGGGTCCTTGCATTGCTCGTGAAGGATTAAGTCTCGGACGAGGGGGGACGGGGGGGATGTGTTAAATGCTTCGATTGTCAATTTAGGTGGTCAGTTGAATTTGGTATTATTTTGTTGTCCCATCTGAACAACAACACTAATGATGACTAAATTGCAGTGCAACGGTGATGGTGGCGCTCAATGACTCCCCCTAAGGGCGCTGCCCTTCGTCCTGTGCCGACCATAGCCCTAGCCTCAGTCCTAGCCCCGCCACGCCCATGTTGACCCGATAGTCCGACTAGTTGGGTACAGCCCGCCTGTTTGGACAGACATTTAATATTTTCCTCTCTACCTCTTTTGCTAGCTGCTCTTTGTTTTTTTTTCCGTTTCCAGGAAGGCAAGTGTCGGGGTTAGAGGCTTGTCCTGGCTCGTCACATACCCCACCACCACACCACACAGGGGTCACCACCAGAAAACTAGTTTCGACATAAAACAGACACATGCCCGCTGGACTCGGCGTGCAGCGCCTGCACAAGCCGCAAACAACCGCAAAGTCCCGAGAAAAAAAAGAACCGCGGCAGAGCACGTCACTTTAGAAAAATAGTTAGGTAACAGCGCAACAAATAGTTTCAGCGTGAGATACGGATCTCTGGGAGTCCATCGGCCAGCAGTGGCGATACTCCATGCAGGCGCACCCACCCCCTCTCCGGACGCGGGGTAGAATCGGTCGCGGAGTAGAGACGGTGCTAGAGGGTGAGGGTAGCCGAGGGCAGTCAGGGAGGAGCCAGCGTCAATAGGTCTCAACATCTTAACAATGAATCTGTGGTTTATTTTACATCTTGTTCTCTCTCACGTATCAGTCATATGAACATTTAAGGAGACTATTCCTCCACAACACACAATATAACATCACTGGGCAACACTCCATAAGACGCACATTTGGCCGAAACAAAATGTCGAATGGAAGTTTCATGATGCAGAATAGGTCACACTGCATCTTCTTACAAAAAATATATGTACAAATCGAAATAAATTACAAAATTAAGGTATGTACAAGACATTCTGATTATCATTACAAGGTGCGGATATACACACATAGCCGCGCAGACTAGAAACGGTTCCTCACATAAAACTGCATTTTACATAAGACTCTTTGCAAGGCTTTATTAAATCAACAGCAATGCAAAACAATTTTAGAGTAGAATAGGTATTTGATAGTAAGTGATATGTGCAGAAAACTTTCATAAAAGCAGCTTGGTGTACAAAATAAATAAACAAATAAAATAACAGCGAAAGGAACATTAATTTAAAATAAAACTATGATGTCTGTATGAGATCATCTGGAGCACTTAGATTCTCACATTCACAAGGGGGCAAGGGGCATGGGTGTTAAAACAGGGGGAACAAAGTTCTCTCTGAAATAAAATGGCAAACAATAGTGCTCGAGGATTCATACCCATAATGAATGAGCTACGTCGGAGTACCTACATACGTAGTAGGTGTTAAAATAGAGTTGCATCACAGGGAGACATATGAAAGCACGAACTACTATAAACCGCTCATCATAAACTGAACGCCAAAAGACTTTCATCCTACAACTATCTGAAAATTAATCGGTCTAGAAGACTCTGCATCTAAACGCAACAACGGGGAAGAGTATGTGTAAGATATATATGGGAATAACAAAGCACCCTACGAAAAACGGAAAACATTTATGGAAATAAAATGCCCTCTCCTCCTTCTCCATCGCCACTTCAGCGCAGTCGGTACGCACTTTGTCTATGATTGCGTACTTTTCTTCACTCACTAGGCGCCCTGCTCGCCAGGCTCCCCACCTCCCCCCTGCCCGCCTACTTCGTGGTGTGGCGCGCCCAGGCGGCCCGCGTCACCTGCGTCATGAGCTCGCTTCGGTTGGGCACCTTCTCGCTCGTCGACCTGGTGATGAAGGGCGGGCCGCCGGGGGCCAGCCTCCGCATGCCACCGCCCACCCCGCCCTGGGGGGCGCCCTGAGAGCCGCCCTGGGGGCCGTGCGGCGCGTCGAGCGTGGCCATGGCGGCCGCCAGCTGCTGCTGCTGCCTCTTCGTGTTGCCGCCGCTGCCCCCGGAGGCCGAGGCCGGGGCCGCGCCGCCGTGCCTCGGCGACCTGCCGCCGGGCGACGGCGGGTCCCGGCCGGCCGGCGGCGCGCTCAGCCGGTTGTCGTCGTCCATGGGGACGGGCACGATGACCCGGGTGCGGCCGTCGTTGTCCGTGGTGGTGAGCGTGCCCACTTGCGACAGCGGCCGGATGAAGAAGGACGACTCCTCGTCCTGCGGCGTCGAGGCGGAGCCGCCGGCGCCGGCGGTCGCGGACCCAGAGCCGGCGCTGTGCGCGGACGGCGACGGCGTCGCAGGGCCGGCGGGCGTGCTGTGGGCGCGCGACTGGAGCGACGGCGGCGCCGCCATGGCCGGCGAGCTGCCGAACGGCGACGGCTGCGACATGCGGTAGCCCAGGGTGGGCGACTGCGGGTAGCCGAACGGCGTCGGCGACCGGGCCGTGGCAGCCGCGGGCGCGTAGCCGCTCAGCGACTGCAGGCGCTGCAGCAGCTGCGCCTGGAACTGCTGGTCGGCCGTCTGGTAGGGGAAGCCGAACAGGGTGCCGCCCGGGCAGCCCGCGCCCCGCAGCGTCTGCACCGGCGACCCGGGCACACCCATGTTGAACAGCGCCATGTTGGCGGCGTACGCGGCCTGCGCAGCCTGGGCGGCGTCCTGGAAGTCGGGCGGGTAGAGCGCCGGACCCAGCTGGTCGCACTGGGCAGAACAACATTCATCCCCGTCACCATCAAGAGGGCCGCACTGGGGAGGCAATTCGTGTTGGGTATACGCGACGCAGCAGGCTTCAGGGTGCACACAACACACACACACACACACACGCGCGCGCACAAAAAACAACAAAAAGTACATCATGCAAATGAAAATAATCTACGAAAACAACATGCTGCAATTTTCAAGTAAAAAAAGAATAGAACAAGTAAGATCAGGTGGCACACACCAAAACTTAAACCAAACACAAAACAAATCAGTTATTTCATTGTCTAAGAAAAACACAGCTACAAGCTCACACAAGTGCAGATCATAACAATTAAATTTGAAGAAAGGCGCTGATCAAAACTTAACAATCAATCTTAATTTCATTTTTAGCTACAGCAAAAAATTAGAAGCGGAAAACAATAGGCTTGATTGACATCAAAATAAACCACTAAGTATAGCAACAATAATTGAAATGCCATGCAAAAAGTAAAAAATAGTAATTTGAATTGCAACAGTTTCAGAACAAATAATATAATTGTAACCACTAAATCCCTCAAATCAATGTGCAATAGAGCAAGAATCTAAAACATTCTACCATGCCAGATCAAATATTTGTATTTTAAACGCACCAATTAGGTCCAACGATTATGGAAAAGTCGTTGTGCTCTTAAGCCTCGAAATGTCAACAGGCAGCTGATTCCAAAAGAAATATTTTAAAGATTAATTTCCTTTGTTCCTGACTGTCCAGAAAAGCTACAAATCACACTCTTTTATGTAAAACAGTTGTTAAAAACAGATACAATGGTTGCACACGTACAATAAAATCACAAATCAAACAATACATTAGTGTAAAACACACAGTCATTTTGCAAAAGTTTATCTGGATTGTTCCGTGTACTTTTGTCATAGTTCAGAAAGTATCGGCTCGGATAGGGAACTGCATATATATTGGGGAGGAAGACTTTTTTTTTTGGGGGGGGGGGCGTATAGCAATTTTACGAAGATCTAATGTACCCTCGTGTTGTTTTTTTCAATGGTAAGAGGAAGGGGTAGGGGGTCGTTAGGGGCGGCGTTAGAAAACACAGGACGCTCACAGCATGCGGCTGGGTGTATCGCAGACTCACCTGTGGTGCTAGCTGCAGCGGCTGGCTGCCGCCCGCCCCGCCCTCCTGCTCTTGCAGGTGCGCCACCAGCGCGGTGATGTGGTCGAGCAGCTCTCGGTTGTGCCCAAGCAGCTGGTGGGTCCGTGCCTGCAAAGGATTCGTACAGTTACCCATTATGCTTCATCATCACAGGCAAATTCATTCTAAAAAACAAAATATTAGAAAGTGGAAAATGAAAACAATATGTGCACCAACCTGGGCCTCCATTCTGGCGGCCTTCTCGGCTGCCAGCTGATCCCGCAACAGGTTGACCTGCGCCATGGCGGCCTGCGTTTGCTGCACCTGCTGCTCCAGCTGCTCCCGCAGCAGCTGGACCTCGTGGTGCAGCAGCGAGCCGCCGCCCAGGCTGCCCGCCGACGGCTCCCGGTCCCGATCCCGCTCCCCTCTATCCCTGTCGCCGTCCCGGTCCACCTCGTCGGGCAGCGGCAAACCGTTCATGTCCTTGCGGTTCACCTGGAGCAGGCACGTCAAAGAAAGACATTAGCAAAATATGTTAAGGAAAAAGAAGAGCAAAGGGGGCATTTTTTCTTCTGGTAGACTCAGTCTTGGGGACTGCTTAAAATGCGTTTTAGGATGGCCTGAATTGACTTTTCTTACCTGTGGTGACCGCGGCCGCTGTAGATCCAGCCTCAGCCCTCTCGGGGGTGGCGACCGGGGTGAGTCGTCGTACGAGCCCGAGTCCTGCACCGAGTCCTCTAGACCATCTACGCTGAGCTGAGTAGACAGCGCGCCTAGAAAGAGAGGACACGAGAACAATTTTATTATAAAACAACACTTCCACTCAACACGATAAATATGAAGTGTGGCGGTATATCCCGGATGTAAAGATCCGCACTCAGTACTATAGTCGAAAACTGTAGTTAAACTGTAGTTAAACTGAAGTTTAATTGTAGGTTTCTATAGTTTAACTGCATTTTTTTCGGACGTAGGGCCACAAAGCGGGCAAAACTGCAGATTAACTACAGTTTAACTGCTATGATGAAATTACTAGAGTTCTGACTGCAGTTCGTCTTCAGATCCTTCCACCCGGGAACCGCGACGTCAGAGGCGGTATTTTAAAGCGAATAAAAAGTAGTGTGAGGACATCTTGTTCGCGACAAGAGTTTGCTTCGTTGGGGGGAGAGAGGGGGGGGCACTATTGTTTTGTCGCACCAGCCAGCCGCGCTGCCCAGCGGGCGACTCATGCTTGTTACATATCCATTTCTCAAGGTCATGTCGCCGGCAGGCACGCGCACCACCGCTAAAGCCCCTCAAACAACACGCTTAAATCAATTTCAGTTTTGAATGTTTTGTCTTTCGTTTCTTTTTGCAAATTCGTGTACACATTTTAACGTGCCATGTATAATAGACCCCATCCCCCTCCCTCCTGGCGTTGCGGGTCGGCGGGGTGCCGTGGAAGAGGCCGCGGAGCGGGTCGTCTTGACGTCATTGTCTAACGGGCAGGCAGCCCATGACCCTCCCAGCTGACGCAACCCCTCACTGTTGCATCACCGCTGCTGCTACTGCTGCTGCTCTGGGGTCTCTTTTCTTCTCTTTTTTTCGAAGGGATCTTTTTTTTTTTTTTTTTTTTTTTTTTTTTTTGAGTGCACAACGACGTTTGCCATTCTCATGCGACAAGGCTTTTATAATGGGGAAGACACGACGAGGAAGTGCTGAGGCAGTGGGCCTGCCCCCCGTCCCGCCTCACCACGCTACGCTACGCGCCCACAACAAACCTCACGCCACCCTGCGATTCTTTTTCCGTCGGCTCGGGCTGAGTGATTATACCCCCGGCAGCAGCATTGGCAGAAGGCGCTACCTTACGCTACGGCGCGGCGTGGTTGGTGGACGCGTGTGAAGCGATAATAACCACGCTTTTCAAGAAAACGGCAGTGAGAAAATCACTGTTTAAGGCAAGGTCATTAAAAAAAATGAAATGAAGAAGGGGCGTATTAAAATGTTGATCAAGATGCCGGAAGTGATGTCATTATTCCGAATTTTCTCAAGGCACTAAAATGCACGTTTGATGATGCCATGCCGAACACGCCGAGCCTCCGCTACATCAAAGCAAAGGCAACCCCTGCTTGCGTCCCTTTTTCCGCCGCCGTCGCCGCCGCCGCCGCTCAGCAAGCAGCGGTCGCGGCCGTCACGCCGCTGGGGCTAAACGTCACAAGTCGCGACGTCACACGCCGTCGCACTGTGACACGAGCTAAATTACGCGCCCGCAGTAGAAAGAGCTGCTGCTGCCGCCGCCTGAGAGACGCGGCGCCCGCTGCCAAGACACGGTATTATACCGAGAGAGTTTTATCCAAGCCGACGACCAGACCGGGACGTCGCGCGACTAGCAGTAGACGGTGGTGGTGGTGGTGGTGGTGGTGGTGGTGGTGGTGGTGGTTGTGGTTGTGGTGGTGGTGGTGGTGGTGGTGGTGGCGGTGGTGCGAGGAGAAAAATAATAAAGAAAAGCACGTAATGAAGTGATTACAGCTTCATGAGAGAGCCAGCCAACTGAAACTGAAGGGCAGACAACCCCCCACCACCTTTCCCCTTGCCCCTTGCGCACTCACTAAAACATCGACGATGCTCATAACATCGTCGTGTTGCAATGTCGTCAAAAAAGAAACTGTGGCGCCTTTTCTGGTTTTCCTCTCGGAAATAAAATATCCCAACGGGTGGTGTTTTGCATCACTCTCACTCTCGGAGGCCAATACACTTATATCATAGACCTTTTAGTCGGCAGACAGGTCAAAGGTTGGGGATGGGGGCTTCCGAGGGGGCTTCTGGCTCATAACTATGAGTGGTAGCTAGTGGATGCAACATCGATGCGAATGGGGGGAAGGAGAGTTGGTGCGAAAGGGAGAGGCAGAGTGGGCGCATAAATTTAGTCTGAAAATGAGGGGCAGAAGTGGCACGTGAGGGTGGACACTATTTCTCTCTGCAATATTGCAATACCGCTGTAGACGAAAAATAAACCAATAATAAAAATGGATTGTCCACCCCACATACGCCGATCATGCTGCCCTTCCTCCAGTTATTGTGCGGCGCGGGAGAATGAGGGGGGGGGGGGAGTGGGCGAGCGCCAGTAGACGCGAGCGTGGGCAGGCTCCCTGTTCACGCCTGTTGGGCGGGCGGCTTACCCCGCGGCTCTCCCTCCAGTACAACGGGAGAGTGAGTGCGGGAGAGCGCCTGCAGGCGCGAGCGTAGGCAGGCCCGCCGCACAAGCCTGTTGGGCCGGTGGCCTACCCCGCGGCTCGCAGGCGCTCTCCAGCAGCCTCCTATGTGGGGGGAAGCGGCGACTCGCGACGGGACGCGCACCCCGCCCTAGGACTTGCAGGGCAGCCTGCGCAACCGACCGCCTGGCAGGCTGCCCGCCGCTCGGAGCACGAACCCGCGCAGCAGCTATCGTTCTCAACCCTCCCTTCCCTTCTTTCTCTCTCACTTCAATGCATCTCAAGCCAACATTAAATTTACACGAACACCAGAACTATATTTTGTTTCCTCAAGTGGTGATGAGGATAAATAAAGGCACATAAGGAATGACACGATGTGCATGATTAAAGATAATTATGATAATTATACAGTCATTAATGAGTTATACTCAATTAAGCTAGCTGGTGCTAATGATTGGATCCGTGTAGGTTGAGCGGTATAAGTGTACTATTCTGTCAC